AAATAATTAAAATTTACACAAATAATTTTATGCACAGTAGCTTCTCGAAACGGATTTTTACTATTCGTTCCATCAACAATCCTTTTCAGATAATCATCAGGCGCATCGAAGTTCATCTTATTGCTCACAGTTACAATGACCTGGCATAAAAGAATTATTTGTTAAAAATATGGTAAATAGTGTCAAGCATGCAGTTACCCACTAAGTTTTACATTTAGTAAATTTGGGACATTGCCATACTTTTCTACTTCACAACTTAAAACATAATTTTACTCATGTTTTGGCAATTGAAAACGTCAAAATAGAGTAACGCCACCAAGTTAGCCCAGCCAGTTAGGAGTACATAGTTAATGAGTTTACTTCCATGGTAATTCAAAGTCTGTGCTGGAGAGTATCAATGTCATATCCACGGGATGGCTAGGACGGATTCTACTTGGCCATTTGCTGTTTGACTTTAGTGAAATCTTTTGACTAGCGCTGTCCTTGAGGCAATTTCCTTGGCTTCTGATACAAACATGCTAAGTTTTCGTATTTAGTTTGACCTCGTTTTAACAACTTAGCCGGAACGATAAGAAGACTTTGTGTAATGTTACTAGTCCTGCGGTCTCTGCCATAGCATTCATAATTATTTCCATCATCGGACCATCGAGTCGGTACATTCCCAGACGTTTCTCCGGCATCGTAGTTGGGATCGTCGGTGAGAGGCCCCATCCTTAACACGGAGTGGCAACTTATCGAATTGGCTCAGAAGTCCTGCGAACGGCACCTGAAACCGGTGGCCAAGGTGATTGTGCATCACTAAACCCACTTAAAGCGACACACTCTCAAACAACATTGGGAAAAATGAGAGCACAGAATGGTGTGAATAGGTAACTGGGCCATATAAAGTGAGGTTGAGGGAAAGAAATACAGCAAGAGAGGCTAGGATAAAAGATAAGGACGAAGTATGATGCCACAGGAAATTGTTCAAGGGGATTGCCTTCAAGTGTTACTTTGATAACTTGTATTTCTGTGCTGATGTTGGGGCTTCTCAATGAGAATGCCGGCTAAACGTCTGGGAATGTACCAAGACAACGTTCCGATTCTGAAAATCATCATGAATCCAATGGCAGATGACGCAGTACTAGGTACATTCTACAAGATCTTACTGTCACTTCT